CTGCTGTAGCCTGGTGGTAAAGGTTTGGGATATTATTCCAACTGACACGTCCTACTTTATATTTACACTGAAGACCAACGTTGCTGTCGGTGAGTATATTGAAACACGAGAGGTTGCAGCTGAACATCAGCAAACACCTTTTTCCTGTGACGGTGACCAAGCACCAGAACAGGTTGCCTGGAGAGGTTTGGGAGTCTCCCTCCTTGAAGATATTAAAAAGCCATCTGGACAACCTGCCCTTCCAGGCTACCTGCTCCAGGTGGCCCAGGTTGAGCAGGGACGTTGAACAAGATAACCCCCAGAGGTTCCTTCCATCCTTAATCTGTGATTCTTTCAGTGTATGCTGCCTTCTTTCTCATGTACTGGGGACATTCATCATACAAGTTTATTTCCCTGCAAAGTTCCCAATAATCAAAAAAAGGGGTTTTTTTTTTTCATTCATTAAGTGCCAGATTTACAATGCTTTAGTTCATTTTTGATTCCAAGATATTCCAAGATTCCATACTGGAAAACTCTTCAGATCTTACCGAGTACAATCCACGAGATTCGTCACAACAGGATAAAATGAGAGGTGGCTAACAGCAATAGAGCACACATCACTATGTGATGTGATGTGGACAATGGAAGGAAACCGCAGGTCACTAACTTACTGCTTTAGGCTGCTGCAGAAGAGCTGTGCAAAGATCACAATACTTCTAAATCTTAATCCTATTCTTCAAAAAGTTGATCATCAGCTTTTCCATTGGTTCATGTGCATCGTCCTCTGATTCAATTTACTCATTTGTTCAATGCTTTTTAATAATACTAAGTGTGATGTATATCACAGCTGAGGGAATTACAAAGTCTGGATAAGGTGTTTAATGGAAGGCAACTCATTTGTTCAATGCTTTTTAATAATACTAAGTGTGATGTATATCACAGCTGAGGGAATTACAAAGTCCAAATGTCTGGATAAGGTGTTTATTGGAAGGCATGGGTGTTCCTGAAACTGCTACGAGGCTGAACAGAATGGTCTTAAAAGGTATCTGGCCAAGGTAACCCATTAAGTATTCTGAGATTTTCAGATTCCAAAGAGGGACCTAACTTTTCCTGGTTTGAAATAACAATTTTTGAACTGTATTCTACCTTTCCAAGTGACAAACTGGAACTACTGGATCTGAACAACCCTAGCTTCTGGAAATTAAGATCTGGGCTCTACAATTTAAAATAATGACTCATGAGAAGGGAGGAAGTATGACAGAAGGACAGCGGCAGAAAAGCCTCTAGAAGATCATGTCTATAGCAGCTAGATTACTATATGAAATACAAACCTGTCCTTTCTCTTCCAGTTGTTTCTGTTCCCTTAGGAGGTGCTCCACTCGAGTCACACTATCCCCAATGTCAGCAAAACTTGCTTGTGCTTCCATGAGATTATCCAATGCCAGTTTTACCTAAAAAAAAAAAACCAACCAAAATAACCCACACACCATTAAAAAACAAACAAAACCCAACAAAACCACCTAAAACCTCATCACAAAATACTAATAAATGTGTAACAAACCTATGGCTTCTAAACATTTACCTACAGCTTTTAGAAGAGTTTGCATCTCAAGTTTAGTCTTTCAGCTTGTTCCCAAATGGAAGAGTCAAGGAATAAAGCAACAATCAACTATTCTTCAAAGAGTTACCCTGCTTCTTACTATTTATTTAGACCCACACAATTTTGAAGACCTGTAACTGCAGGGTCTATATTACTCCAGAATCCACATTACTCCAGCCTCTGGGCTGACAGCTGGAATTTCTGAAGTGTATTCCATTGACTCTGGTGGGACTGGTGTCTTGCCACCACAGAGTAAGTGATGTTTGGTAACATCACACACCAATTTCTTGATAAACCATTTTGCATTTGTGTTTCACATTTTGGCCTCTCAGGCTAGCATTTTCCTCACTGTGCCTTATTCAAATGTTGGAAGATATCCAATAGCTGTCAAGAAGTTACTTTTTGAATATCCATTTCTGATTTCATAATGAAGGGCTTTCTCTTCCGAACTCCTGGTGGGACTGCTGGTATGCTCTGAAGTATGGGTAAAATTTGACTTTATTTACCAGAGAAGGCTAGACCGAATGAACAAAAAAATACCTCTCTAAAATCATGTTCAAAGTGTCGAAGCTGCAGGCATTGTTCTAGTTTTAGGTGATGCTTGGTCCAAAACTGATCAAAGGCTTTTTCTGTTTCATCCAACTGAGCCAACAACCTGTGAAGAAATTAGAATGAAAATAATTTACTTCGTTTCTGTATTTAATTTCTGTTAAGTTACACCAGTTAATGGCAGGAAGCAGAGTAGGGAGATGGTGGGAGCCTACACCGATGTAAGAAGGCTCTGTGTCAACTTTCCCTGAACCAAGGAAGAACAAAATTTGCAGTGAGACAGGCAGGAGTGTGACTGATGACAACTACATGGATCCACTGTTGCAGTCCTGCCTCCTGGCCTGCTAGAGGAACACAGAGCTGCTCCATGCACTGGCAGCAAAGGTGGCTGTCTCTCCCTAGCTTCCACCCAATTCTTCAAAGATAATACAGCCCAGGCTAATGCAAGTTGAATATGATGCAATTTATTTTAAGGAATGCTTAAAGCAGAACTCTACAACTTGTTCATTTTCTTCACCTGTCAGAAATAGCAAGGCCTGAATCATTTTTCCCAGTCCATTATAAACAGTAGATTAGAAGCTCATAATGCCTCCCATCGACATCGTTTCACTTTGTGTAAGCGATGAAACATTTATTTGCAAAGAAATTAGTATCACGACATTTTACATCTCAAATAAAATGACTGACACCAAAACAGTGAGTCAGCCTCGCAGTCTTAATAATCTATTAATTATGTTACCAGGAAGAGCAGTTTAAACAGAGAAAAGCTGAAATGAAAGTTTTCTCGGAATGGCCTATATTTCAACAGATGAACACTTTGGGCAGGCAGGGGACCAGGCCTGATCTCCTACAAGCCCAGTAAGTGCTAGAGTCATCAAGTTATTGGGGCAAAGGCCAATAGCCCCCTCCTATTCCCCTCAAAAACAAAGTTCAGTTTTCAATCTATCCCCGAAAAACGTGGTTTTAATCAAAGCTAGTTGTTGAATTAAAGATGAATTCGCAAATTCCTTTGGGATGACTGTTTAAAGGATTTTAACGTATTCAGTGAAAAATATCAGCTCAGCTTTACTTTTGGCAGCTTTGTTCCCAGTGAATGCAGGCAGGCTGAAACACTAGCACGGCATTTCTCTTTCCACTGCATCATATGGCACAGCAGAAACTTCTACACGGTGACTAAAAGCTTTATGGTAATAACTAGCATTGTAGGAAGCAACAGGGCTTTCTCACTCTCTGCAGCTCTGAAGGGTTTGTTTCAGGGTATCATCTTCATCTGTTCCTCCCCCAGAGTTTCCACAGACGTGCACAAGCACATACCCTCTCACCTCACATGGATTCAGATGCCACTTTCTAATCAGGCATAGAAGTTTGGAGGATGCATATGTTAGGGGGAAAGCAAGTCTCACATTAAATTTTTAGCCAGGTAGTTAGTGGTCCAACCAAAATTTACCAAGAAATTCAGGACTTGTTTGAACTTGCCTTGACAGTTTAACCAAGTAACTTCCCCAAAGCTATTCCCTTCTCCAAGTTACCTGTCCAATAAATCCTGAATAGCTGAACCAGTGGGAATTTATAGCCTGTATATTAAATCGTTTAAATTGCACTTGCATTTCTTAGGAATAAATTAGCAACTTGTACAAGGTAATCTACTTTCACTGACCTTTCTACTGTTGCCACATTTTCCAGTTCATCTGGACTGAGTTTGCTGTTGGCACTTCGGGTGACTGGCTCCCTGATGCAAGTCAGTAGGGTGGCTCCCTGCTTCACAGCTAGTTTCAGCTCATCCTGAGGGAAAAAAACCAAGCCAAATTAAGTTTTGCATACTCAGATTCTAAGAACCCTTACATCTCTTAGGTGGACAACATCATAATGCTAAAGCAGGATTCTTTCATAGGTATTAAACACTTGGAACAAAATGTTAAGTGCTTCAAGATGATACATCTTTCTAGACATGCAGAGACTAGATCTATTCACTTTGAATATAGACATATTTCTGAGAAAAGGAATAGTATATAACTTCTGAGAAGACTGCATTTCTGACCAGGCAACTTGCAGAATAAAGTATTCTACCACAAACTGAATGTGTGCCGCAGATCGTTCAGTGAGCTGAGAGACTGTGCTGGCACATTGCACTTCTTAATGGAATTTCCTTAAGCAATACTGTGAGTGCTGAGCCGTAGTGCTCAGCCATCCAGGAGCTATCCACATAAGAAGCTGTCTTCCCAGCATGAAAGATGAGCAAGGGAAAGGACAATGAGGCTCAAATACTAACATGTTAGCTGAGGAGTCCCCACATCACTGCAAACTTCTTGCATAAAACATGTTCTTGTGCTAATAAGGCTTAAGTAGGATTTTTTCTCTTGTGTTTAATCTGTTTGTTTACAGCAGTCATGTTTCCTTGTGAGCTTTAATCTGCAAGGCTAACCTTGCCCCAAGTGTTTTTTTTTTTAAAAAAAAGACCAAAATGACAGTCATCATCTAGTTAGATCACTCTATCTATTCCTGGATTATCCTCACAGATCTTCTCTACATCTGCTCCAGTGAGTTCATCCTTCCTGATGAACTCCTCATCAGGAGCCCATGCTATTCCAGATGCGATCCCATCACACCTTCTCATATAGTAGAAGTGACATTTCCCTATTCTACATCATTCCTAAAGCTGTAAAAAATCCTTTATCATAGTTGATTCAAATCAACATCCTGAACCCAGGTTTCTCTCCTCTTCAGTAATTTCCAGACAATGGATTCCCAAATGATGGCAGAAAATTTTGTTAAATCAAAAATCACATTTTAAGTTCCCCAGAGCCATCACGAGACAACATTCACCTTCAGCTTGCCATGGTGGTCAGTGTGTGCGGAGAGGAGCTCCTCTGTGCACTGCACATCGTTGGGAAGTTCAGTCTCTGCTAGGTCTGTTCCAAAGGTCTGTAGCATCTGTGCTGTTGTTTTTACTGTCATTGCAAAGTTTTCAATAGCCTGGAAATGCAAGAGCATAAAGTCACAGACTGGATATTTACCCGTAGCCCTTTAACAATGCTTAGTCCTTCAGGCACACTGTGCTCAAGTATTACACACCTGTAAAGCTGGTCATGTTTCCCTTTTTTTCAGGTCCATATGCTAAAAGTTACAAATCAAATCCTGTGTTCCAAATGACCTTTTCACAGGCCTACAAGTAGTATCATCTCCATGAACCAGCTGGGGAACTCCCAGAGCTTAACAGACATAATGAAACCACAGAGGACATCAGCTTCAAAGTCAGAAATGGAACTTCAGATCCTCTGCCCATGTTTGCTGGGAAATTCTGCTGTGCTAAAAGATTTTAATTAAGGCTTTATTTAAGTAGAGGAGACTCCAAAAGTACATAGGGCAAAGCCTTTTTACATTTGTATATATACAGCCACTGTTCACTCAGCAGCAATCTGTCTTGCCCCTGACTTCTGAAAATATGCATCTCCGTCCTGCCTGTCTGTACTCGATGCACTCCAGTCACTCCCTCCAATCTGTTCACATTAGTACAGAAATACAAGAACAACTTCCTGCAACTACAGTCAAAAGGCTTTAATTCATTGTAACAGTGCTGTTTCCTTATCACCTCGGTGCACGAACACCAAACTCTGATATCTGAGGTTTTACTGAAGAAAGGGACACGAGAAAAGCTTAAAAAGATTGCTGCCTTTTCTGCGTAGATTACGTTGTTCAGACTTGTGAGATGCGATGAAAACCTTTGTATCTAGTAGCAAGTAACTGCATGGGATGTTTTCCAAGATCATTGTCCTGGTTTCTTTAGGGACTGTATTGTCCTGTACAACTCTGTTCTTTACGCTTTTTGATCTAAACCACCCCATGGTCTGCAGCACTAGGGATACTCTTACACCCAAAGACAACACAGTTGTTCTAAGTTGCATTTCCTTCTCCAGCAAGGACAGGAATTCCTCATTTGTAACCATGACTGTTAAAATTATGTTGTGTGCTCCGTGAAAAACAAACTGGAGGTAGGTCATCATTCAAAAGGAACAGAGAGAAATTACTTTCCATGTATGTGATCTGAAACATGCCCCAGATGAGGCAATACTAGCAGGGTTCATAGCCTCCTTCCCATTTTTCCTCCCCAGATAAATTCAGGCATAAGCAGGAATCAACACGAGCAGTACAGACCCACATCTGCCCTGGTTTAGCACTTAGCAGCTGTAGCCTGCTGGTCTCAGCACTGAAACTGCTGGGTTGAAGTTGGCTGAAATGTCCCACATCTGACTGCAACACAGACAGAGCCATCCATGACCAAAAGCTGGTTACTAAAAGCCAAAAATATACTTTGTGGGCAAGAAAGCTCAAAGTCTCCTAGCCATTCAAGTTAAGAAAGCAGAAACAAAACCCAATGCAGTGAGATTGCTGTGTCACTACCATTCAGCAAGAGTTTAGAGCTGGTTTAGAAAAAAGTACTGGCAGAACAAGATACTAGAACACGAAGAGGAGCAGCAGAGGGGATGAAGACAGTAGCTCAGCAAGACTGAAAGTCAGGCTGTTTCAAGGTGCCGTGGAAGCTCGCACTTCCCTGATGACAACTTCTTGTCCAGCAGATTCCTTGGTTGACTGCACCACATACTCAGCTTATCAGTGTCTCACTTAATACCATGCTTGCCCCACCCTCTCCTGTGCCTGTGAGTAATTAATTGTTTTATATACCTATCTCAGTCCTAACCTGCTGATAGTCACAGCAGCTATAAACGTAGCAAACCTGTGTTGAAGGAAATTGGGATTCTGTGTTTGCATTATTTAGAAGCCCAAAAGAAGTGGTTATTAAAGACAGTAAAATTTAATTTTATAGTGACAGTGAAGCACAGAAAATGATAGCAGGACAGTGACAAAGGTGATTTGACTTAACAAAGCTACCTCAGATAAGCTCTGTTTCCAAACGTTAGACCTAACCTGTGGGTCAGCAACAACAGACTCAAACCCAAGGCTGCCCAGAACACTGCAAAGCACCGGGGCTACTTAGACATGAGCTCTCACACACCAGTCTTGCAGGCAGACCCACAAAGACAGGTGTAAACGTTGCATGTAGTCTCCAGGAAATTAATTAGTTTTCCAGGATCAGGACCCAAATTTGCCCATTTTTGCTTATATAACATAGGATAATATTTTGGCTGCTAATGTGCCAGAGTTTGGAGTCGTTTTTTTCTAAACTCTCACCTTTTCTGGGCACCATAGTGAATTGTTTATATCTTTTTGAATCAGTCACTGAGCTGCATTAACCAACACACAAAGAGGGAAAAAAACAACCTGTAACAAATTTCCTCAAAAGCAAAAGAATAAAAAGTTTTTCTGCCTTCCTACAAGTATAAACTGTTCTTCAGTTACTCAAAATTAGACCCATCTGGAGGCATGTTTACACAGCACAGAAGTGAAAACAAAGGAAAATAAGATCTAGTGTCTTGAGTATTTTTCTTCTCTTAAAAACATGGACATAATTAATTACTAACGTGAGAATTGTGACCTTCGACTCAGTAAAGTGCTAAAGCACATGTTCAACTTCAACCATGCGCTAAAGGCCTATGAATCTCATCAATTATTCAAAAGCTGATAATCTGCCAAAGGGCTTTGCCAAGTAAGAATACTACAGCACTGTTAGGCCCTAGTCCAGGTCAACTGTGACATGCAGATTCCTACTTCTATTGCAAACTTTTGGGGAATTCCCCTTTCTCTATTTGACTCATGGATTGCCTAGCAGAATGTGTAGTCTGAAATGCAGCTGGAGGGTTACTACTTAATGGTTGTTCTACATTTGTCATCTGAACAGTTCAGGGTGCAGACAGGTAAGAACGCCACCAACACTCACAGTTCGGTGATGTATCCACTGACTGTGGCCATACTCCAGGGTTCCTCCCAGCTCCCGGGTCAGCTGACTTTTGTCAATATAGCCATGCAGGTCAGAGACAGAATTTAACATGATGATCTGAAACGAATCCAAACACAAGGGCTGAGAGAAATAATGAGCCCTTTCAGTCATTCTTCCCAAGATCTGGCTTTGCCTTAAACACTCATGACCAGATACCTGGGCAGGAGGCAGGTGGATCTAGCAGCAAGCAGATCATGCTCTCAGTTTTTGTAAGACTGCTCTCCAAGAGCTCTGTGGACATACCCAAGATGGCTCAAAATTTGAATGTCCAAAGAGACCCCAAGCTAAACTCATATATTTATTTTCCTGCTTTTAAGAAAGGTAAGTTACTATTTAATACTTAATGCAGTGCTTGATCTGTGCCCAGAATTAACCTCTTCCAACTCTGATAGTTTCAAGTTGGATTTGAAATGCAACACTGGCATCAAATAAATTGCTAAAAGTATAGAAGATGCTGAATTGCTAGAAAATACTAGTCCTTGATGAAGTTGTCCCTTCCTGGGCTGCAGTTGCTGGTACAACAGTTGCTATAGTAACAGATTGTGGCTTATTAAAGACAACATCTATTTTTCAATGTGAAATAAAATTTAAAGATTTTTTTTTAAAATCAAACATACATTTTTTCATCAGTTTTGTATTTTAATTACCAAAAAGCCACCCTTGCCAAACTACAGTCAACATTACAATTTAATCCACCATAACTAAATGAATATTCATGGTTCCTTTTCCGTACACATTGTAATAAATGGACTGCTGTCTCTTACTTCAGCAGAAGCATAAAACGTCTTAAACACCTGAATTTCAAACTTAGGTACTGACAGAGCTAGAATTTGTTGGAGGACAGCCATGGGTCTTTTGCAGAACAATATAAAACCACAAGCAAAATCCAAAACAATCATATGAAATCACTCCAGCAAAGTCATTGTGGAACCCAGTATGAGTCTGTTCCAGGATGAAATACCATTAATAATCATCATTCAAGTTTATAAAACACTTTGAAACCACGTGCAAACATGTAGCTAGGAACAACTCCCAAAAGAGCTCTCATAGAACAATCTACAACTTAAACTCTTTCAGAATTGATAACCTGCTTCGAATCACATACATTCTTATCAACCCACAGCATATGCCAAGTGCATATAAAAAAGAAGTAAAAGCCAAACTTTGAATCTTGAGGGCATGGGGATCATGAAAGGCATTCAGAACAGGCAGTGCTATGCAAGCACTTCATGGGGCACTGTCGGATTCGCAGCCATCCCATGGATAATACATAAACTAGTGCAGAAGTCAGCCCTAGATTTTCACTGCTCTGTGGTCCTAAATAATTATGTTTTCCACTGGGGTGATATTGACCACTTGGAGCGAGTCCAGAGGAGGCCATGAAGATGAGCAGAGGGCTGGAGCACCTCTCCTATGACGAAAGGCTGCGAGAACTGGGCTTGTTCAGCCTGGAGAAGAGGAGGCTCGGAGGAGACCTCATTGCAGCTTTCCAGGATCTGAAGGGGGCCTACAAGGGGACTGGGAGAGGACTTTTGAGAAGAGCCTGTAGTGATAGGACAAGGGGGAATGGGTATAAATTGAAATCAGGGAGGTTTAGATTAGATGTCAGGAAGAAATTCTTCACAGAGAGGATAGTGAGGCACTGGAACAGGTTGCCCAGAGATGTCGTGGATGCCCCATCCCTGGATGTCTTTAAGGCCAGGCTGGATGTGGCTTTGAGCAACCTGGTCTAGTGCAAGGTGTCCCTGCCCATGGCAGGGGGATTGGAACTAGATGATCTTTAAGGTCCCTTCCAACCCTAACCATTCTATGATTCTATGATCTACCTCTGCCTGCATCAGGGATACAGCTCCACTGAGTTAAGATTTTAATACTTAAAAACCAAGTCACGTTTAGCTGCACCGACCTTCCACATGGGAACATGTCCATTAAATACAGTGAAGCACCCACTGGTAATTAACTCTTTGGAATTGCTATTATACACACCATCCAGCCCCAGACTGAAGTCCCCAGTTGCCACTTGCAACCAAATTTCAGTTGCTAGGTTATCAGAAATTGCTGACACCTAAGAACTGCAGACATGGAGCTAAAAGAAAACACATGGGCAAAAGAAATGCATGCTTACCGGTACCTTCATTTTAAAGTCATCGCGATAGAGTTTAATGCCAATGTCAGCGATTGTCCTTTGGATAAAGCGGGAGGGTCGCAGGACAAACACCAGCTGCAGGTTTCCTGGAAATGCTCCCTGAAAGATATACAGAACTATTAGAAGGCACAACTCTGCCTTCTGGAATCTTCAGTCAAGTGTTTCCTAAAGGGGGAAAAAGCAGGTAGGACTTCTTGAACCTTGCTCCATCCAGCTGCTAATAACATCAGCAGGTCCATTCAGCACATGTCCATTGTCGCAATCTCCAAAAAGCCAACAGAAAAACTGGCCCGTGGATTTTTCTGCCCAGCCATACATTGGTTTCTGATACGGATTTAGCACAGAGCTCTGAAGTTTCTGCAGCAGTGCCTTCCTCCCCCAGATCTGAACCACATCAAGCCCCCTTTTCACTACCACATCATAGGTTTTCCCATTTTTTTAGGCTGCAGCCACTGGAGGGAAAACTGGCTACCTACATTGCAGTTGGTAAAAGAAGCTGGTGGCATAGGCTGAATTTCCCAGGCTGACCTACCTTTCTCACTCTGGAAAAGGTTTTTAACCTCACACTTTCCCACACACAGAGGCACTCAACACATGCATCAGACACAGCCCTGTCTGCAACACCCAGCCTACACCTCTTACACACTCCTCTGAGCTCATCAAGCATAAAAAAGAATTTCTAGAAGAGAGTAGCAAAAAGAACTGAGAATGAGAAGCAATTCTGCCTAAATTCTTTGAAAGAACTTAAAGTGTCCTTGGTCTTCCTTCCATCCTACATCTCTGCGTTCTTGCTCCTCACACAGCACCTGTTCCCGGTAATAAATTTATAAGACCAACTGCTTTTATTAGCACTGAAAATCAGTGCTTAGCTCCGACTCTTGCAAATGAGATATAATAAGCGATCAAGAGTTTCTGACAGAGATCACTTAATACCACGGAAACACAGGTCCTTTGGGATCTGTTTCTTTCACAGGCAGGCCACGTCATCACTCCTCAGTGCACAGAAAAGAAGGGTAGCTCTGTTATACTCTTCTAGGAACCACCTTCAAATTACTAGAATTTATATTGCAGTCAGCCCAGCAAATAAGGAATTTGTCCCAGTTCAGCAGTAAACAATTCTGTGTAATTTGTTACTGCAGCTTCCTCTCTCTTGCTTAACACTCATGAGCTTCAGGGCAGGGAAGAATCTGTATCCACAGACAGAAAATGGAAGCTAAAAATGAGCACGAGACTGTATCCTGTGCTAAAGATTCAGCAGATAATTTTAATTTCTAGAAGACAGATAAAAAAGCAAGCACTTACTGCTATCCGTGTCAGGGATGCCTTGACTGCGCTCCATTTGTCCCGCCGTCTGTCTATGATGATGATGAATCCAATGCTGGCAGCCTCCAGACTGCAAAACAGATGAATTAAGTACACCGAGTTACACGGAGATACTCCCGTTCCAAGGAAGCATACTGCTGCAAAACACAGCCTCCGTCAGATCACCCTCTAAGCCCATTATGAAAATGCAATGTACAGTGGAAAGAATGAATATCTGGCAAAAATTCACATGAACATGAAAGCCAGCAAATTTTCTCTCTCCAGCGTAAGGCTAGCAGCTTACACAAACCATGAATATTTTATCTGCTAAACCTCTCTGCTGCTATGCTACTCTGCTGCCAAATCTAGGTGATACGAATAGTTCAGGATCACAAATCACACTGTGCTGTATTGAAGGCAAAAATCACAGATCTTGTTTTCTCTGCAAAATAAATCGAGTTACTAGACACCCCACTCCAGCCTTCATTCTCCAAGTATGCTGACATCTGACAGGGGCACTTAGCTCCAGGCGGTCAGTATCTTCCTGTCACCACCTTGCCTGTGTACACAATGTCCCAGGAATTCTGGTGGACAAAGCAGGAATTGAAGAGTTATAGCTTGCCAACCACAGGCTGGTTCTAGGGTTGCAAGTCATTCAAAACTATCCTTTTAACATATTGCCTGGAAGAAGTTACTGATCCTTCCACTACTTTGCAAGGAGGATCTATGAGGCACTGACTTGATGCTCCATCCCATCTATACAGACATCAAAAATATGCCCTCCCCCCTCTCTCTCCCAAAACCCCCACACGGGTGTGCAGAGCTTCAGTGGGGCTGCTCTACTCTCAGCCTTCCAAGAGCACTTGGAGCTGGAAAGAACAACTTCATTATAGCAGGATGACTTGGTCATCTCTGGACAAACCAGAGGTAGGCAGAAAGAGTATAAATGCTCTCTCCTTGCTCTTGCAGGGAATAGGATTAGATCCAAATATATGGTTATGCAGAACAAATACAAAAATGCTTGTTGTGGCTAATCATTCCCAGAGAACAATGTTACAATGCAACATCCATGTTGCTTCCCGTGAGTCACTGAAACTGGTCTGTTGTTTAAAACGAGATTATTGGTAACACAGTCAGATATGAAGGGGCAATTAACTCAATACAGTTCTCCTTCCAACAGTTACATGTTTAGATGACCTTGGGAAAGGCTGTCTCTTTAATATGCTTTATATATTTTTGATGGCCATGTTAATTTTTGAGAACCAAGTTTTTAAGAGGACATAATTTGAATCAAATGGATCACTAAAAGATGGCCTCTACTCCAAAGAAACAGTATATATATTGCAATCAGCATCTAATCACATTCTCAGCTCAGACTCATGCAACCAAATTGTAGCTGCTGATCTCTCAGACAATAATTGGACACAAAGAATGAAGTTCAAATCTGATGCAGTTCCATTGAAACCAGTGATTTATAACAAAACCTCAACAAAAAATGTGTGTTAGCTGAAGTTAACAGAATGCTGATGTTGGCCTAAAGAAATATGTAATTCAACTAAATATCAGGCTAATAAAACATGAGAAAAATCTGTTCTTTTCAAAATTTACGACGTAGCTAAACCACAAGTAACTCTAACCATAAAGAACCATCTTCACACAAGCCAACCACACATAGAAATTGCCTTGTTTTGCCCGTCTGTTTGGGTTGAGAGTCTGACTGAATGCTTTCTAAAAGGAGTGTACCTGAAGGATTGGAGGCGTAAAAGAATTCAGAATCAGACCCTTATAATCACACCTTCATGAGCAAATGGTAATGGGAGTAACTCACAGGACAGCATCTGTCAAAAGCAACAAGCACTACTGTGAATTAAACAGAAGTATTGGTGCCAAGTAAAACTTGTCCAGAACCAACTCTTAAGGCCCATTTTTAGAGGTCCCTTAAACATGTGATCAGAAGTCACTTAAAAAGTAACCTTTGCTGTTTTTTCAAGTACATGTCCATGATCGAGCAGTTCTTGTTTTCAGGTGTTGTCCTGCATGGAGATTTGTAACAGCACAAAAGTATCCAGGCATCAGATGCAACAACAACAATTAAATTACCACCTAATAGGATCAAGAGCTGATGAAATACAGACAGACACAAGAAAATGCAAGAGAGAAGCAGCAAAGGAATATTCTCATGAAATTAGGCTTGGCAAGAATGGTCCTTGGGAGTGGGAAGAGCTGGGAATAGGATTTACTCATCAGTTACCACTGCAAATCACAGTGTTGCAGGTCAGTTAAAGAGACAGACTGAGGAAATGAAAGATGAAATAAATACTTAAATAATGACTTGGATCTGAATATGAGAAAAGAGCAAAGGAGAGCAAAATACCACTGAGTGTGCAGCCTAGCTATGGTGAGGTGCTACTCACAGTGCTCTCCCTCCAAGACCAAGTGTGGTAACTGCAGCTGGCTGACAAAGACAAAACCCACCAACCAGCTGTGCCTGGCACGTGGGGCTGAGGGGGAAGGCACAGGCCAGCACACTTTACTGCACAAACTGTACAGGTTCAGTCCGAGCTGCGGAGGAGTACAAAGAACAAGCCAAGGCATGAGGTTGGAGAGAGATTTATCAGGGTAGAATGAGAACCAGGCCATTAAGCAAAGAATTCTGTATACATCACATACAACACTGAACTTACTACATTGTCTGAGATCAACTGGGTAAAAAAAGTGGAAAATAGACTTAAAAACTACATGATCTGAAGAAGGACAAAAAGAGTGGGGAGGGAGGATGAGAAAACTACATGCTGCCAAAAAGCAAAGCAGCTGAGCAAAGCACAGGAGAAAATGTGGGAGAATACCTACACCACTCAAAATCACTCGGGCACTCTAGGCAAAGGCAAGCAGCATTCAGAGATATACCTCTGTAAATCTTGGCTGGTACAGATTGATGGATGCAACACAAGGGCCTAGACACAAGAAAACTTAATATGGGCCTGTAACCTTGACACAAACCTGGACCTCAGCCTCCTCCAATGTTATTCCCTGCTTTCCACCTTGACGTTCAGGACACTATCAATTGTCTTCACTGAGATAGGCAAATGTTTGTTTGGTTTTGGGGTATTTTTACTACTAGATAGGACTAATTTAAGATCTAAATTTAGCCAAGGAAACAGACAGAATATCAGCAAGTGATGTTATTTCAGTCAGCATGCTGAGAGGAAAGGCCATACCAAGGTCTGAATGTCATTTGGCACTAGGGATGCGTGCAGGTAAACAGCCAGGGGAAGGAGCTCAGCCAAGACGGCAGCATCAGCAGAAGCGGATGCACGGTTGAGAGACCCCACTCGTGTGTGTACCCAGAGGAAGGGAGTTTGTTTAAAAACATACACATACACTCTATCAATGTTTTCTCAGTGTCAGAACTGTAATACTCATTATGGAAATACATTGAGGTTTTTCCAGTTCTCTGAAAAGAGTGATTTGAAGACAATCCTGCACAGCAGATAAACAACAAGCTTACCTCAAAACCAAATTCTGACATATTTGCCTAGACCTACACGTCTGGCAGAGAGGTTCCCTTTCCCTGAATGAAATGTGTGCAATCAGCGGAGCTGTTCTGTCCTCAGCTGCAAGTTCAGGTTAGCCCTTGAACACTGATTTGAGAAGACCAGGAGATGGTGAATTTCCTCACTTCTTTTGGAAGGAGAGAAGGGCACCTGCTTATCAATGTACTTGACCCACGTCAATTGGAAAAGAACTGAATCCTGGACATGGAATAAAGTAAGTAAAAAAGGGCTTTCTGGCCCTACGTATTCTAAGTGTGCTTGCACAGAGATGTGCATGTGCGTATACCACGCTACTAAAAGTTTGTGGATGTGTATGTACATAGGTCCCTTTGGTGGGACACTCTCATTAGCAGGTGTTGAACCAGAGAGAAAATTGATCAGATTACAAAAGTCTCACTGGGCTGATCTTCCATCCTGGAGAGCAGTCACGTTTTAAAGCTCAGAAGTCCAAAGTTTGCTTACTGTTCACCCCAAAATATTGTGATATGCCACAGCTGCTAAAGCAAATTTGCTCAGCAGCATCCAAGGCAAGTGCATGCCTGTGCATCTGAATAACAACATTTGCTGTCTATCTTTATCTTTTTCAATGTTTTGTCATGTGGGCACAAAAGACCAATCATTCAGATGGACTTAGAAAGTTCCTAACTCACTGAATGATGTCATCTACGGTCACACATCTTATCTCCACAACTAGTATGAACAGTATTCTACAGGATATGCAGAAACAGACACTAAAAAAGACAAATATTCTGTCTAAATTTGCCTGAAAAATCAACACTGATTTCTGTGGTTCACTGAGCTGTGAACAAGGAAGTATTTTCTACGCTGAACAGGGTGAACTGCTTTTCAAACTGTACTCATCTTACCTGACTCATGGCCATATCCTTTGTAACTCCAGAAGAGTTAGAGGCTACTCTCTTCTCTTAGTCACTTTGATACCTGCACATCTTCCTTGAGAATTAAAATAAAAGGCGAACTACTAGCAGTGAAATAACACACTCAGGAAGACTGTTGTAATACACAGTAGTGCCGAGGAAAGTAACAAATGCAGTCCCTTACTGCTTGCTGAGATGTATGACAGAGACTTTCTCTGTGCCAACTGCAGATTAATAAGGCTCTGCTGCACCCATACAGGTCTACTACTTATGCCACATTAAGACTGTGCTTCCTATAATTATGTCGTAAATCACACAGCCAAAGCTTGATGCTCAGGTTCTTCCTCTTCTAAATTAATACCTTTGTCCCTCACCATCTAAATAAAGGGTGGCAAGTGTCAAAGAATGACTGAAGAAATGTGGTCAATCTTTCTAAAAGCACTGCAAAGACTAGCAAACTCCCAGGAAAACGCACATCCCTACAGTTGTTGATCCATGATTGAAACTAAGGGTCAAACCCAGGTGCTGGTATGCAGAAAAATGTAGGCTCAAACCCCGGCCTGTCACTGACCTTGAATAGGTCATTTAAATCACACTGAATAGTCACTTAGTCAGCACAAGTTTTGGTGAGCCTGTATTACACATACCTCACCACCTGGAAAATAGGCATATTGCTGCTCTCCTGACTTATAAAGTTCTGAAAATTCATCATCCTTTGCAAATTGCTCTGGGATTCCTTGGAGGAACAGAAAACACACAGCTGAAACTGAATCAAAGCAAAGGTCCATATAGCCCAAAACCTGTCTTCAGTGTTGGTAGGATACTGAGGCAAAAACAGAATGTGAGAAGAACAATCTCTCTCAGCATATTCTCCCAAGTCCCAGCATTAAGGAACATAAGGATTTCTTCAGCCAGAGTTTGCATCTGAGCCATTGTGTTCAGCTGCCACCGATGGTGCCATCCTTCATGAATTGGGCTAATTTATTTGAACCTGTCCATACTTTCGGCTTTCACACAGACTGAGTAAGAATAAAGCATTTGCCTGTCATGTTGACAATGTGATGTGCTAGCTCCCAAACATGTGACAGCATTACTGGGAATCACCCACCAGCATACCAAACACAAAGAAATGGAAAACTAGTTTTGTGTTTTTCTCAGCTCCTATTGCTGTTTCATTAACCCTGAAGCTGGTCATCCTCCCAGTCCTGAAGCTAGCAGAGAAATACATAAAACAGAGTTTCTCTTGGCAGAACAAAAGGCCTACAGAGCAGAGTGAAACAATGAAGCTGTTAAGTTCACAGTGTGTGGTTTCTCTAAGCTTGCTTTGGCAAGTTCATATGGGGAATACATGTAGGTGGAGCTGGAAAACTTGTTACTCAAACTTGAAGGAGGCACGTCTTCCTCTCATCATCCTCTAAGCACCTTTATGCACAAGACCACAGGAAATAATAAATCCCAGCTGTGTTTCTAACTAGCACAAACAGCCATGGTCCAGAGACAGGATCAGGGGGCTGAAAAAATATTAAGCTCTCTTTTTGGGTAAACAAAAAGTAATTCAGGACCCATGCCTTAGCGCATTTCCTCAGAGCAATGGAAGTGAGTTTGTTTCACTCTACTTGCACAGCTGCTGGCAAACAGCAATGAAAACATCCTAGCTGTGGAGCAATCTCCCAATAAACGAAGCATCAGAAAGCACATGGTGCTTGCCAGAATCCTGTCAACAGGGCACCTAGCCTGCTTTCTCAGAAAAGAGAAAACTTGCACAGAAAGATGCACTCAGAGAATAAAGCAGTAACAGGACCTGTGTAAGTCTGGCTCCCTCCAGATGCAACCCTTCCCTGGTTACATCCAGTGCCCCTGAGTTTTCACAAATGGCCTCTCTCAGCTCCCTTTTGATTTGATATCTTTACTGCTGCTCTTCAGATCTATACCCCCTCTACCCAGTTCAAGCCCTGAACAGAAAATCTGTCCTGTGGGAAGCTTTCTTTCCTGGGAAAGTAATATGAGTGATTCCTAGGGCTTCTTGTGCATAGGGAAGTTTAACACTGAGTGGATGGATGCAGATTCACTGGTACATCCTGGTAGCATCACTAAAAGCAGTGAGCCACTGAGGAAGCAAAGCCCTCTAGAAAACCAACAGCCATTTGTGCTTTGCCTCACCTGGGAATGCTGGTTAGATATGTGACCACGTTCAGAAAATCCTCATCGGGTATGTCACTGAATCCTGCAAATTCTGGAAAGGTTATGATGGGTGCCCCATCCTTCCCTCTTCCTCCTGCCAAAGAGAGATAGTAAAGATTAGAGAGTGATTTTATACCTTTGGACAGACTGGTCAGTACTGAAATGGGAAATGCTGGCACATCCCTCACTGAAAAGCACCCAGATCCAGTACATGTGATCAGCTTCCCATTTGATGCCAAGACTCACTGTAGTCATAAGCAGCAAGGTCAAGTCCCTATCTGAGGGACTCCTGATCCAAACAGCAGTATTCAAACTCTGGTAGAGCTATGGGGAGCGTGGAGCAGAGTCCCTCATAACCCAACAGCCTTTTCTGTTCTTCTGACACGATGCTCAGCTCTAGGAGATGTTGTAGTACACAGCACAAACCCTGTTTACTTTCAGGATCAATCCTAACTTGATTCTGCTAATAAATCTGAGCGTCACTCAAACCACAGAGAAGCTAACAGGATTTTTCTCACCAGCTTGGACTCAAAGCCAAGAGCACACTAATGAGGCAGCAGCACATAAAGGAATACAACAGAACAAAGCTGCTGTTACAGGTACCTTGGTGCAGCTTAGGGCATTAAGACTCCGGGAAAAGCATGTCCTTTGTCCTTCCTCAGCAATGTCTGTGTAATCTCTATTTTTTACACCAGGCTGAGGAATTCTCTACAAACCCAATACTGAGCCTAGTCCATCAGCACACAGTTTTCCTAGTCATTTATCACCCACAGAAGATTTTTGTCCAAGGGATAGCCGTGCTCCGGGTTTCCCCTTAGTGAAGGGCAAGCTGTGAGAGGGAGACAGAAAATTGCCCTCCTCAAGGAAAATATACAATAAATTGTCCCATTGTGAGGAAACAGGAACTCAGGGAAAAAAAATATGATTCCTCATTCCTCAAAGTACACTGTAAATCCCCATAAATAAACCCTCTTTCCAGGCAGCTCCCATGGGCCACTGCCTTTCCCTGCAGATACCCACAGCTGGTACCACAAACCAGTTGCTCCTGTTTCAGTAGTCACTGCAGAGGTGCGCTAGTAATTCCTAGCTATTTCTGTGCAGAGTGGTCAGTCCCTTGCCAGTCCTGGTCCTGTTAGTGAAGGGTCCACATAAGGCTTATGTGAAGGGTCCACATAACCCTTCCAGGCTCAGTTGGATTATTTACGGTCCCTTCTGTGCTGTCCAGCCATGGAGAGCTGAGATGCTGAGGAACACAATCCTTGTATAGAGTAAGAGCAGTAACTCTAGAAAATAAGAAACCCATTTTCTTCTTGACATCTGGTGATGCGATGGCTTTGTCAGGACACTACCTTCAGCCTGTGTTTTCTTTTCTGAAGGTTGATTATTGCTTTAATTACATCTGAAAATGACTCAGTTGTGCTAGATCATCCACTAAACTCACCCTGCTAGGGAGAAAACAGGCCTACAGAGATTCAAAGGTCTTCCAGCCAAAATGCCAAGAAGGAATTCTATCATTCACACTGCACTGAATTAAATTTCAAATGCTGAGCAGAGCCACGGCCTCCTCATTGACCTCCACATTGGCCTTGGGATATGGCCAAATGCTGATGCATGGCAGCTTGATCTCCGGGCACTCTGGCTGCACTCTGCAGTCAGCAGTGACACCGAATGTGCTGTCACACGAATTTAGTCAGCCTTTCCCCCACCTGTTTGCAGCAATCTAGAGACCAGAAACTCCAAGCTGCAGGTACCCAGGCAGGATGGTTTGTCAGATTCTTAGTGACATCTTCTGGATGCTAACAGTAACGGCCAGGAAAATGAAGTAAGAGGCTTGTCTGCTGTGTCTCCTCCTGCAGAGTTCAATGCCTGCCAAGGTATTTCATAGATGGTGTCATGTACATATTGACGTGGTTCCCAGGCACCACACATTCCCATTCATGAGTTTCAGGTATGTGAAGATACTCTAAATGTGGGAGATGTAGCAACCTGTAACATTTTGGTTTAAAGCAGCAATGTTTGCCCTTAAGAGGATAAGATAAAGACGCCCCTGGAAACCCTCCTTCAACACCTGATAGTTTACTTGCAGTTATACTCAAGACTTGTTTAAACTACAAGTTTCACATGGCACTTCTAATGCTCCTGCTGACCAGGGTCTCTTCGTGTTCTTTGTATCTTCCTTGTCTTGCATCCACATTCATACACATGCTCTTCTTCCACTGACCTCTTTTCCCTGAGTGAGATGATGCACTGTATGTACGTGGGTGTGTATCTTTGTCACAAGATCTTCTCCTATAAAAAGCCATCCAAGGAATGAATGCAAGCAGAGTGAACACTGCCTTCTTCCCTTCACCACTGGCAACAAATCTAGAAGGACATTTAGGAGCAGCCTCAGGCTGAGCATTCAACTAAGAGTGAGGAGCTCCCTGCCTCAGATTAGGCCACACACCCTTAGCAGCTCTTGGGCTCCATCTTATCCTGCAAGGTGAGGACTTACTGCTGCAAACAAAACAGAAGAATTTAAGGGAAGTTCCTTATATACCAAGGGTATCTGGAAAACTCTCTCCTCTGGATGACAGAGCAGTTCCATCCATCTACATGTTAATGCCATTTTTTTCCTGACACTAAACCAGGATTTGCTGCAGTATGCAAATTTCTGCAGAATGTGAATTGACAAGATGCAGACCTTTTTTTTTCTGGGCCACCAACCTTGCTTTCTAGGGAGTGGCTGCTAGATTTTTTCCAGTCCTTGAAACACTATCTGGCTACTCAATGTCTCGGAAGGACACAGACCACAAACTAAAAACCAACAGGGACAGCCTTCAGTCAATTCCACAGCCACATGCACTAAGTACATGGAATTTGACCCCAAGGATTCTCTGTATACAATCCTTACTCTTGCTAAGACTGTGCATAACCCCCACACTCCTGGGCATCACTTGTGAAAAGAGTCTAATTGCTGAAGAGAAAATCTTACAATCCATCCTAAGTGAGGCAGACAGGGACAGAACAAGCTCCAGCAGCTCCATGGCCAAAAGAAAAGAACTGTCCTCGAGGGGGAAAAAAGACATTTTAGGTAGCAAGTGAAGGCAGAAGGAGGGAGACGCAAGTGCACAAAGCTGAGAGGGTGACACTACAGCTGGCTGAGGGATGTCTGCCCTATTCAGCAGTGTCTGTGCAGCAAGATAAGGGTGCCCAAGGACTGCCAGGAGCAAAGGAGCTTGACAAAAAGCCAGACAAACATGAGGCAGGAGCTGAGCTAAAGAGCCCCGTGGGAGAAGTGAGCAATAAGTTCATTGTAGTGCAGTCAGAAAGAGAAACAAAGATACACTAAAAAATAACTATGAGGAACACGGCCATGCCTGGCAGCTGTCCTCATGCAATGCACAGGCCCGTCTTCTTGACTTGCAGCTCCTCCAGACACCATTAGATGCCACCCTGCAGCACTTTTCAAGCAACCCAGCCACCGCCAACACCTTCTGGCACCTCCCAGGGCTGATGGCAGTGGGGGTTGCAAGCAGCAGCCACCGGAGCAAGAGGTTCAGGTGGCAGGAGGGGAGGCTGGGGGCTATCCCCTGGCTGAACTAACGCGAGGCTCACTCTGACGCTACCTTAGGGGAGCCAGGCCATCCCTGCAGCCTCCTGTGGGTCACTGCTCCTCAGTCAGCCCCAGGCTACTCTGTCACATCTAGCCCAGGGGTTTTGCCTGCAGAGGAAACTCAACCAGATGTTGTCTACCATCTCCCAGTGCAGGCCTGAGCACCCCTCCTAGACAGCACTCAAAAACATAACACATGCTGCCCCCTGATTCAGCTCCATCCACTTCCTTCAAGAGGTACATCTCCTTTTTGCTCTACCTCTGCAGACAGCATCCTGCCCTGCATCCAACCCAAACTCCTTGTGTCAAAGGCACGGACCCACTGCCTAGGGAAGGGCCTTCTGATCAGAGACCTTCATATATGATCAGAGATAAATTGTCAGCAAGCAGTTAAATCAGGGTCACACACAGAGGTGCATCAAACTCGGCAGCTTGAAGCACGAACGGGGCAGACAGCATCAGCAGGAGTTGGAGGAGCAGAAGGCTGGACTGCCTGGAAAAAGGCATGACTTAAGAGGAAGAGATTACAGTCAGCTTGACTTTCTGCCTGATTTGCCATTCAGAATGACACCATCCCTTTCCTCCTCTTCCTGGACACCTTCCTTATTTTCCACCCAGCTCCTTGCTGAACTCTTCCTCTTCTCTCTGGCCCAAGGGCAAAGGGACAGGAAGAATGTGGGTGACAGGACAGTACACAGTGAATGTGGAAGGGAAAGAAAAGCAGGAGAGAGAGCACACAAGCTGCATCAGGGTAGTACAAGGCATGGTAATGGCACCATCACTCACTCTTACGTGTGCAATTCCCCAAGTCCCTGGACACAAAACAGCATTCATAGTTGCTCCTACTAGATAGACTTTCCAGCTACAGATGCAGCCTGGCTAGTAACAGCCATGAAGATGGGGCCAGAATTCAGCTATGGAAAGAACACAGCTGAAGTACTTGGGGGAGAAATATGCACGGGGGAGAATGGGATACGGCATCAGAGAAAGTTTAATTATGCTTTGCAGTGGAAAGGGTGTGACTGACAAATGAGGTGAAAGTGCTGAATTCTGAGCGCTTGAGCAGCTGGAGTTGCATGTTGGTATGACATGTAAAAGCAGCAAGCAATCACAACTGCAGGTCAAGTGCCTGGACACAGTAGGGATCCTAGAAAATCTCCCACTCCCCCGTTGTGGCCTACTTATGCCTCCAGTCCAGGGACCAAAGACACCCATGGTTTATACAATCAGGGGATACACCAAAGTCCTGTTCCTTGGCAAGCTGCTCTTCTAACACCACTAGCAGGATTCATAAAGGAACGTCTGACTAAAGCTTTCCAGATACGCTGAATCCACTGAGGGAAAAAAAACAAACAAGAAAGCAAGCAAAGAAAAAACACCACCAGGCTGTGGTCAGAAGTTCCAAAAGTTTGTCTGCAAGTTTACGGAGCATACATCCCGAGTCTGCTACAGATACCAACTCATCAGTTAGAACTAGAAGGTTCCCACTCAGATTTTGCTGACACAGGCAGGCTAACTGCTTGGGCCTGCCCACAGGCGGAGAGCTCCCTTAGTCAGAGCAGACCTGAGCACAGCCTGTCTCCTAGGTCAGACAGCTAAAGAGTTCAGCGATATCTTGGCTGAAGCTTCACTGCCTTGGTCAGGTTTTGCTTTGTCCATGCTCTGTTGTTTTGGTTTTCCATGCTGATTAAGGGTTGTGAATGCTGAATTTCTCATTGAAGTTAAATCATGCTACCTGGGTCTAGATTTTTACACAAGCTCCAAACTGTTCTTTTGACAGTCAGGCCAGGTTTTCCAAAAGGCTCAGTTTAAACAGGAAGCAGATGGCCAAATACCCTCCAGGCTTTGGAAATTAAATAAACTAGTTTTACAGTCAGTTACCATTGTCATATTCAGCCTCCCATCCACTGAAGTCCACTGACTTAACAGGAGCAGAACACACACACCAAAAATGAATGTCTGCTAATACACTTGGTGACAGTTTGTCTAATAAATTCGTGACTTAGTAACAGGATCCATTATTGCTGCAAATGGTAGATTTGGCTCTTTGACAGAGTAATTACAGATAAGAACAGGTTGTGAAGCTACACATAAAAAGGGAGGTAGTAGTAGTTCCAAGAGCAGATTGGTACGGTGGGTTATTAGGCTGTCAGCAGAATAGGAACAGTATTTTACCAGCAGTTCTCCATTCTTCAGTGAAAACTGGTGTTAGAATAGCCAGGTTTTCAGTACTACCAACTTTGTGATCTAGTTCCCTTAACAGCTACAGGAAACATAGCTGTGCATTCCTATGTTGTCACAGCTGTAGTCCCATAATTGCGAGTTCAGTTTTCAGGGAAAGGAAAGAGGCAGTAGTGGTTTCAAAACTGGAATCTAACCACAAGTACCAGCACTCCCACCAGATCTCACAAGCTAAGAAGGGTTAGATCAGCACACGGAAAAAGAGATGACCCAAGTAGAACTACATGGTTAAGGACATTGTTATATTACACCACAGCCTTTCCCATGACCACAGCAGACTAGGGAAGGCTGTGGATAGCTTCCGTGTTCTTGGCATGGACAGTACAGTCTGGGTTAGTCTGGTAGCTAGAGGGCCAGGACAAATGGGAGGCCAAAACTATCTAATGCATTCATTGTAAGAAGACCCTGACACAATCAAACACCAAACTCATTAGTCTGGTTACATAATTCCTGCCATCTGCTCAGAGACCGCAAGACCATCAGATCCTCTTTTAAGAAGTTTGTACACAGCAATAGTAGAGGAAAGTGTTTTTAATGAGTCATGTCCAGAGAAAACAAAGAGACTTCGACTTCAATCGTTCTACTGTTTTTCTGCTTTATGCAAGACATCATTAGCATTCCCTGCATCCAGCCTCAGCCATCAGCTGTTAATAAGATGCTGGTGTTAACCAAATAAATATTTATTTATAACAAACTCTGCAACCATCAACCAGTTACTTTTATTATCACTGGACAAGTGAATCTGGGGTCCACAGGAGCTTGACAAAGCTAGAGGCTGTAGAGTAGCACAAACCAGCCTCACTGGTAACATCCTCCCAGCTCTACATGTGCATGCACGGAAGAGGTAGTTAGCTACCCTCCATAGGGAGAGAAATAGTTTAAATCAGCATAGACCATTTTTAGAGTTGCTCAGGAAAACCCAAGCCACCCTGCAAGTAACCAGGGAGTGTCATTTACTGTGATGGGGCCAAAGAGCTGAGGTTTTTTTTCAGAGAGTGGCTACTGAGCGGTATCAGCATGGCAAACTAGGAAATGGGCTAAGTATCAGGAGATTTTCAGTCTCCACGTAGGCAAGCACTGAGGCACTAAAATATTTGTGGTTGCTTGTGCCTAATGAAAAGCAGCATGCTTTAAGGAAAAGCTGCAGAGCGGCCTGGGGGGAAAAAATCAAAATCAAATGAGGTCATTTATGTGTGAATTACTTTAATAAGTGAAATGAGGCAGAAGAGCACCCAGATCTGTTTTCATTGGATGAAAAAACTAACCTTTTGCTAGAGGAAAAAGAAAATTACACTTATTTAGAGTAATAAATTTTTTAAAAGTATAGTCATTTCTGGCTTGTACCTAAACAGCAGTTTGCAGGAGAGAATGAAGGGACCGTAAGGAAGATTCTTGTTATTATATTTTACCTATGACCCACCAGTGGTCATCAACAGAATAAGATACTGGGCTGAAGAGACCTCTGAGTAGATGATTTTATGTTCATGATCATCTTCATGGGCTGCCGTGGGGATTTCAGAGTGGAGGCACCCAGGTTTCCAAATTCAGCTGTAAACTTCAGACTCAAATCAACTTGGAAACTATGAACTATACTGCCCTGTTTCTTATTAGGATATTATTTCTGAACTGTACCGAGGAGATTTTAGATAAGCTTGAAAATCCTTCAAATAGGAATCACTATTTATGTAGATGGGGGCATGAAAGACACCTTTTCACTTGCTTTTGGTGTTTGTTATTAGTACTTGTATGCTGATGAACCAGTTATTTGCTGATGCCTAACAAACAAGCCCCTCAGTGCCACCTTCTATGAAGATTTAATTCCAAAAATCTTTACATGCCTTAGGTTTAGTCTTATGTAAAGACATTTCTCATTACTTCCAAGAATAAAAGAATCAGATCAAATGTGAAGAGTTGAATTTGCTAAAATAGCAGGTGAGAATACCGGCACTACTGAAACTATGCATTCAAAAAGAAATATGAAAATCCTTTTTTGTATTTACCCTTGACATTTCCGTGCCATGTTTGATGTTCCTAGTTGGAACTGGAAATGTGGTTTTCTTCCTGTTTAGTAAACCACTTTACACAAGTTGCTCATTACATGTCATATATAGCTTTTATTAATGGCGCAAGGTAATGAGGTTTAAGAAAAGCAGCCCCCCAGATTTTAGCAGACAGACATTGCATATGAGGCACTGAATTCAACACACACAATCTTGTTTACACCTACATTAGTGTTTTCAGGCACTCGTTAAATCAAAGGCCTTGAAAACCATACTAGTTTCAGCATCTCTGCATGCCTGGTGAGCAAAAAAGCAAGCTGAACACTTGAGAGAGACCAGCTGGTGGCTAAGAGCAGACAAGCATCCCAGTTATGATCTGACTGAAGTTAACATCAAGATCCGAAAGGAGCTGAACAGTGATTAGATTCCCTCTCCCTTTCCTTGTAGTTAGAATATTTTAAAGGCAATTTGGCACTAATAAAAGGGATCTGAGTAATATTCCTGAAGCAGCTCTGTGAGGATCAGTTTTAAACTTGACAACAGCCTCCAGATTAAGAGACTGTCATGTCCCACCCACCAGTCATTATTTTATCTGCTAAGCAGCTAGCACAACGGGAAAGGGGTGCCCAGCTTTCCCTGACCACCTAATGCTTCCAAGGCCTTGTTGTGGCATCTGCACATTGAAATCCCTCACAGCTGGGTGTGAAGCACTTAACAGTAACACCAAGTTACTCACTATCCTCTCCAGTCTGGCACAGCAGAGCCCTAGTAAGCACAGGGTATGTAGGCAAATGCCTGGTCACACAAAGGAGAGTCCTGCAACATTACCCCACAAAAATCATCCTAGGATACATGCTGCATTCCCATTTCCTAATTACCCTGCACGGAGCACGATGGTGGGATGCAAAGGTTTGAGCAATTTTATGCAGTTGCTCACACTGTTCTGCATGGAGGTTTGTGTTTATTAGGAATTCTAGGAAGATGTGACCCTGCGATGTTTTACTGCAGACAAGAAGGCAGCTGGTTCCAGCTCTGCTCCATCAATACCCTCTGCCGAATGCAAAACAGTTACTGAGCTTATGAATCTGCCACAAGATGCTGCCTAGAAACCTCCGAAATCAAGTTCTAATACTCGGAGCCCCATAAAGTATTCTGAATAACTTAATATTTGGATTTCATTTGGCAGCTTGGAGCATACTTAAAATTGTGAAAATGCAGCAAGGATTGGGCCTGCTAAGTTGACTATTCACAGAGCTGGGGCTGAGTACTCTCTGTGCTGTGTACCCAGTGCTCCTCTCCACTAAGCAGAGGCTGCCCAAGAGTACCTTATTATGACCATCCTGGTGGTTTGTGCAAACTAATGATACTTTGATGCGTGTTTATAGGGAAGAAGGAAAGCAAATACTCAATTTCCTTATTTGCAGAACAGGCGGAAACAGAGACAAAAGGAATTGCCAGAGGCCATACAGTCAACAGCAGAGGCCATTTTAGGACCCAGATAAGGATTTCACTTCTACAGTCTCCAAAATAAGTGTATTAAATAATCTGGCAAATATTTCAATATCAGCTACTTATTTGGGGCAGGAACTACGTCACTTTGTGTAACTGCAAACTTCAGGGAAACAAAGGAATCTGTAATAATCAAATCTTTAAAAGATTAGAACCCCACACTTTAGAAATGAATCATTTCTAAAACAAAGGCAAATAAGGAAGAGAGGGAAGGTCACGAATAGCTCCCTGATAGTCCAAAATCTTTTCCCACAAACAAGATGTTTGGACCCTGTGCAAAGATATGTACAGAAAGATTTGTTTAGTTTCTTAGCCCCTAGTCTGCTCCCCTCACCCTCCATCCCATTGTGGAGAGCATGGAAAATTAACTTGCCTTAAGAAAAACAAGCACAGCAAGTTGGCATTTATCAGTTCCATTCACTGTGAACGTCTAATTGAAACAGCACTTTTCGTTAGCAATATCAAAATACTATTCCAACTGCTGTACAGAGCTGAAGGTGACAGTCAGGATGACAGGTTCCAAGAGGATACTAGAGTGTGATTACCAGCAACTTCTTACCTGACAGGATAGCAAATTGCCTGTGGAGCTGCTCTATTATATCCACTGCAACCAGCGGCCGTATCTCCTGCTGCATGATCTCATCTGTGCAAGTGAAAACAGAAATCTTCAGTGAGTTAATAAAACCTTAATGACAATCTTTCCTTCCTTTAAGGACCCATCAAAACAAAGATGACACTCAAAGGAAAAGAGCCTGGCTTGACTATTGGTTCAGATGTTCTAGGACTGTCACGGAGAAGTTTATGATACTTACCAGAGTCTCATCTTCAGCCCGCTTACTTTATCTATTGCCTTGTGATTTCAGAGAGAGCTTTTCATAAACCAGCTCCAGCAGATTTACCAGAGCGTGTCACAGGTTTGCTCAAGCTGACAGCCGGCTCCTTACTACTTCATGTTCCATATTAAGTCACTGCATTTGGCCTCCCACATAAAGCAGCTTTTCAGCCTTTGAAAGAGTAAAGTCTGTTTCAGATAAAGTGCCACACTGAACTCCCTGGTCTCTGCTTGTGGACTTTGTGTAACCAACCAATCCAGAACAGTTTCCTTTGCCGATGCCTTTTCCGCTACAAGCAAATGCACAGTAAAAGGAGGAAATAAGGGGCTGTGAAGCTTTCTTCTCACAAAAACAAAGCCTGTTCTTTTAAAGTAAACACTGAAAAGTTAAAAAATAACCTGGCAAGCAGCTGGGGAGAAATCACCACAATTTTTGTGTGTGACCTATTCAGTGACCAGCAACTCATCTCACATGGAGCTCATTTGTCTCTTGCTATAACAGGTGCATCCAATTGTTCTCCCAACTCTTCACCCCAGTCTAGACCAGCAACATCTACTGGGGAACATCTGCCCGCTCAACTGACAGGATCAAGGTTTACGGTACAATAGTACCTATTGTGATTAGGCCTTTAGCCACTGTACAGCTACAAACCACCACTAGTCCTGGTTTTGTACCTCTAACTGCCCTCACAATGGGTAGAAGGAAGGAAGCTGGGTCATGCTAGGCCAGAGGTCAGACAAAAGGCAGGTAGTTGCCCTATTTAAGCATCAGGATCTTCACTGATGTCAGTACAGTGCAGGCACTGAACTACTTTGGTGCATCTGGTTTTGAACAAACTGTCCAGAAATAGCAAGGGAGGTCATACAGGTCAGAAATAAGATTTTCTCCGGCATCCTATTCTGCTGCCCGGGTATCTTCTCTGTCTTGCTTTCAGACATCCGCTCTGATCTTTCCACAGATAGGGATTCTAGATGTTAAAAGACACAGTGTCATGAGGAAACTTTTTTGTTCGTTTTCAAACACTTCACTAATGCTTTGAGACAAAGTAACTGAAGAACTGGTGTCATTGCCCTCTCCCAGGCAGATGGTGACACACAGCATGGAAACAAGTTGCACAGATTTTGGCAATGCACAGAACAAGGCAGTAATTGCAAGCTATTGAAAAGGGGTCTGATTCTGCAAGTCTTCAATTTGAATTAAAAAGGGGAAAAGTCAAACAAGAATTAGTGATTTTTGATGTGCGACCTTCATTTCCATCCTACTTATGCAGCCCACTATCAGCTTCTCTGATTCTTGACAGTGCAGGTGACTAAGAGCCACCAGAAGAGCAGATGAATGAATCACAGCTGAAGAGCTTGGTTTCAGTGGTGTGCACACAACTTACTGGAACTTCAATCTACTGCTATGCATATTTACACTGTTGCACAGAGTTAGCAGAGCTAAGGCTTAGCTTTAGACACAGAGTAGTTTATTTTAACTCTGAGCAGCGACATACTGCTCCAAGTAACCAAGCTGGGTGTCTGCAAAGCACAGTTATAGCCCAAGAGCCCAGCACGTCAGTGTGTGAGCTGTGCTCACTTATTTGAACGTGTGATTCCTAGTCACCAAATGTATTTTATACTACCTTTCTCATGGCCTGCATGGAGCCCGACTTGGACAAGATCTGAGTCCGATTCTGTCAGGTATAGTGTGTATACATGAGAGACTAGTGAGACTCAAGATCAAAAAAAACCCAACCCAGAAGTAGGAAAAAGTCAAAATAATAATTAAAACAGATCTTGGACTCTTAGAGCCAAGAAACCTTGCAGCATCCACTAAAGAAATTATTTTAATTTCAGCATCCAGAAGGTGCAAAGATAGAGTGGCAACTGTGCAGTCTCACAGGTAGATAGGTGCACTCAGGTTTGGGTTATAGGACTGAGCTTATGCCAAACAACTGCAAAATTGGAGCAAAGGTTTCTACAATGGATGAGACGATCACAAGGAGGCTTGACAGAAATGGAAAATGAACTAGAAAATGTGCCACCATCTCTAGCCTCTCAGAGGCTTGCTCATCCCTCCAGGGTAACAAACCTGTCAGTACAATAGCTTGCTTTTGATGTTGGCCAATATGAAGGCATCATTAAGATCAACCAGTGTTGAGCAAAACAAATTCTCCCCCCCTCTTCACATAGCTGCTTTATCAGCATACTCTGAAAATAGTTTGGTTTCTGGTTTCTAAAGATCCTTTTTCTACCAAAAGAATGTTGTGGTGTAAGGATAAGGTGAAGGAATACAAACAAGACCTGCAGAGTGCCGGTTAGGTCTCATCAAATCCTCTGCCCAGGCAAGCCTCTCCAGCGAGACACGTGGAGTTTGCTGTAAACCCCACACGCAGCAGGAGTCATTCGGATGATGAGAAAAGGGCTATAAAACACACATTCGAGTACATGAGTCTAGCTCACACAGTGACATGCAGGGAAAAGAAATTGTAACACAAGAAGCTAGCAGGAGACTGAGAAAAACTGAGGAAACAAGGGAAGATGCCTCGTGAGCCCAAATGGCAAATCAGATCACATGGCTATGAAATGTCAGCAGCTGTAGCCAACAGGACACAAGATCACATTTGCACTCTTGCATCTTCCTCTAGGACAGTGCTTGAAGGTAGTTACTCTCCAATATTGATAAATTGTAACAGCATCACAGCAACAGAAGTCCCAGTCCTTGGAAACATGATGACCTGGGGCTGCTGAAGGAAGTTTTTAATCTTTGACTAAAAGAAAACCTTGAAAAAATTCTTACAAGCAAACCAAAAGACACAGGTCTGGGTTTGACTGAAAGCCATGACATTTTGCCTACCAGTAGTGAGCATTAATTCGTTTATATCTCTCACTAACTGTGTCCCAGGAGGCTCTGTAGCCTTCCCAGTCCATGTGCTGCAAGCCACAAGCCTGCAGGAAGTGGTGTTCAGCCTCTTGGGCAGAAGAAACATCCCATTTTCCTATGGGACAGACACCACAGCTGAGAAAACCCTGCTTTAGGCTGACATGAACTGTCTCTGAGCTAACAGCTGCAGATTCATAGACTACTTCAGACAAACTTATTGATGATGGGCATCTTTAATTCACTATATGTGGACATAAAAGTCAATGGGAAGGGTTTAGATTTTAGCTGCAGGAGCTTTACAACAATGATCTTGCTTCATTGCACCTTGCAAATATCTGCACAGGAGATCAGACAAGCCCTGGTCACTTCAGAGCAGTCCTGTGTTCTGACAAAAAAGGGTATCTGTAGAGCCGTGTCACTAAAGATCATACTAAAGCATACACCAGCCAAGTGGCTGAACATGGATGTCTTGGCAACCTTGAGTCAGACTTTTCCTAGTTTCTATATGGTTATTCTTGTGGCCTTAACTTTTCTTAATTAAAGAGTTAGTTGCACATAGCTTCTCAAATTTAAAAAAGAAAAAAGCTTAATTGAACAAACAGTATTATGCAAAACAACGCCAGTCCCCTATATAGGTCACCAAAGTTGAATCTTTACACATACCATGCAGTTCTTCATTATTTTAGCTAATTGAATTTGCCAGGACAATTAAAATGTGAATAAGGATGTGATACTAGGGAGAAAAAAATATTAAACAAGTCAGTCCCATCTACTCTTGGTTGTCCTCTTAAACTGCTATAAATTCAATTCCTAGCAGAGACTGTTCAAATTTTTACATGCAAGACCAATTTCACTGCAGAAAAAACAGGCCTTGCAGTTTTGCTTCCCAAGCTTTTCTACCAAGGAAAGGAAAATGAAATGCAATTACTATAGCCATCTGTCTGACACAGCTTCTCCTCCCTCACAGATCTCTAGGGAGGCTAGCTGTCTAATGTTTAAGGGAAAAGCCATTCAGTTACACTTCATAATTCTTCACTTAAAAATGAAACATGCTTGGGCTTCCCCACACACACACACTTGCCGATTTTATTGCTCGCCACAGCTGTACCTATCCCTGCAGCAGGTCTGGAGCACAGCCCACAGACTGCTGCCTTCAGGGCTACACCAACAGCAGCTGATTAAAAGCTACAATAAATGTAATCTTGTTCCCTCCTCTCTCTGAGCAGAGAGAAAGTAGTTGAGATGCTAATGGCAACTAATGGTTTTCAGCAGCGTAGGAAAGATGACCTGCTGGAGTGAAAGATTGGACTGCGTGGAGCAGATTGACACAGCAGTGCCTATTGCTCCAGGAAAGACAACCAAAGGCACCCAGCCATATCCAGGTACTGGGGTTTCTTTGTTTAGTGACCGAGTGCTACAACTGCCTGGCCTTCTGTTGACTAGAGGAGGGGGTTGCTTCAATTCCCCATCCAAAGTCACTAATCTTGGAATAATGGGTCACAAATTCCTGGAGCAAAGTTCATCTTTTCTTAATGACAGCCTGATAGGTGATTCACGAGGCAGGGAGACAGCTGAGGTTGAAATAAAATCTTGGCTAAACTCTTAGAGTACATCAGCCTACTTCTACTCTGTTCAAGCTCAGTCAAAAATGACCCTCACAGTATTCAAATCAAATCTGTGGATTTGGAGAAAAAACAGATTGCTGATGTGAGGGAAGAGAATCTTCCATGTCTGTCTTCATGTCCGTTCTGTGGCCAGAGATTTCATTTGATGAGCTTGAAAGGAAATGTAGTGTTATGTGTTCTCATTCCTCTTACCAAAAGGCAACACACAAATCCAGAGTTCAAAAGCTGCAAAGTACCTATAGTTCCAGTGTTCTCCCAAGTCCTGTGTCTTTTGGACAGAGCCAACCACCCAACCAGTTAGCTAAGAGTCTAGAGGAGCT